ACGAGTGTTTTTTGCCTGTGAAACGAATAGCGAAAGAGGCTCTTACCTTGATATTGTCCACAGCGAGTAGCTCGACGCCCTTTGCAAGCATTTGACCGGAACGACCGGTGACTTTTTCAGGTGTGAACAGTGTGAGAAGATATGACTCAAGCACTTGACTGTCAAAAATGTTCTCTATACGTCCGCCGTAGACGACATACATCAGCAGACCACGGATGAATTCCCAATCGGCTTCTGAAGGTTGGCAAATACGAAGACTCATCGAACAATATGAGCAAAAGCGAATACAATGAGACTCCAAGATAAGTATTACAAATGGATCCCATAAGATTTTGCAGACCGAATTCACCAGATGGGAGCGGGGTCAAACAGGTGTCGCAATATCCACGATGACCAAGGCGTATTTGTGCTTCGACAGAGGAGCGGTCGCAGGGGCAGGAATTTGAAGAACGGAAATAGCCCTCCCTGAAGAAAAGGCCGCGAGTTCGGCACTGCAGAGGAGAGGACTCCGAAAAGCATTGCGGTCGAAGAGAATGGTTTACGCAATGGCGATGGACTGCTTGTTCTATGAACTTTATGAAGCAGACCTTCAAAAGGATGTGCATACGTAATACGATCGAAATGCATGTACGATTTCGAACGGAGCCCGTGTATATGGCGCGTTCCGGAGAGAAATCCATCTAGGCCGACTGCTTTGTTCTTGTTCAAAATGAGCCAGAAATAATTTTTGGAGGCATCTCAATGTTTCCAAATGTACTTTTTGGGATGACATGGAAGACATCCGTCTTACAGTAACAACCTTACTCGTTCACTTAATCTGAATAAAACCTTGGACTTCTACGATATTTTCCTCCATAAAAATGTCTACACAAGATGAACATCTCCACAAGAATGACTCACTCGATTCTTTGATGAGGCTTTCCACAAGAATGCGTGCTACTCGAACATCAGCACTGCTGAATTCGTAGAACTTCGTCCATGCCTGAATAGTGAAAGCATCAAATTTTCTATAACCACAAATCCGAGAATGGAGGGGTATTAAAAACCTTTTCCACAACTAAACAGATGAATCAATTGATTTTGAGCCACTTTTTTCCCAATGCAGCATTAGTTTTGTAGTGATTTTGCTTAAAGGAGGAATTCACGATAAGAACGAAGGTCGAAGAAGGGAAAATTGCATAGTTGGGGACAGGCGGACCTCCTGAGGGTGCTGACCGACGCGCAATTGGCAGCGAAAGATTTGACCTCGGCGATCTAGCATGGCTCAAAGCTGGAAACGTCTACTTTTGTTTTCAATGACTAACTTTTCATCGGAAATTCCGCCTTCAAAGGTGAGAAACTAGGGCTTCACAAGCATATCATCCTACGCGGGTCATTCACCACAACTGCTCACACCCATCGATCGAGTTCCATCACGTAAAAAGGGACTTTTGAGATTCACCATGACAAGATAAGACAGCTATGCGCGTAACAGGAGTTCTATGATAATCGGTGGTAACGATAGTGGTAGTAGCAACGATGCCACATGAAACAGGTGA